CACACACACACACACACTTCTCTTTATTTAAAAGAAAATCAGAAAGCTGTAGCTGCCAGCCCCTCTCCACAGGACAGCAGGTGGCTAAGAGGCTCACTTAACCAAAGAGGGTGGTTTCACCTTCCTTAGCTTTCTCCCTAAGCAAAGGTTCCTCCTCTGCCCTCAGACCTCCTTGCCACCCTGGGAACAAGGACATTTGCATCCCGGCCCTGGGGTCCCTCACTGGCCTGGTCTGTCTGCTCAGCCTACCAGCCACCCACCCCTCCTGCCGGTCTGCCATAAATCTTCCTGGAGCCTTGACACTTTGCAGCCTGCCCTGGAGAAGGGGTATTTATGGGTGCCGAGCTGACCTCCCTCCCAGCAGGCCCCCCTCTGGAGCCCCCTGGGGTCTGATCAGTCTGGCAGCCGAAGGCCAGTGGGCTCTGTAATTCTCTGGTGGCTGACATGCCACGGGCCAGCCATGGCGTTCTCTCAGCCGAGTGGTCGGCAGGCCATCGTTTGTCAGCCCGGGACTGACAGAGTTACTGCTGTTTAAACGAAACCATATATCAGAGCAGTTAAATCTGTTGCCAATCGGGGGCCTCCGAGCTGGATGTTGAGGGGTGAAGTGATGTCAAGATGGGTCATTAGGCACTCTTGGCCCTCCCCTCCCCCTCCCTGATTCCTATCTTGCAGCCTCCCAGCCTGTCTTTCCCGGGAACTGTCCAGAGAGGCTGAGTGCCCGGACCTACACCCTGCCCTCCACCAGGCAGCGGGTATGGGTGTTTCTGCTACCCTGCATCATACAAAGGTGCTTCATAAGCCCAGGGCAAGGCAGACCCCGTCTGCTCCCAGAGGAACACTAGTGCTCAGAGGAGCTTGGGTGCAGTCTATCCCTTCTCATGCCTCCTGGCCAGGCCTGTGCGCCTCCTGAAAGTATAGATTACACGGGGCAGCAGCCGAGGGGACAGACGGGAGCTCCTATTCCTGCTAACCCGTGTGCCGTACCCTGTGGGAAATCTTTACCTGTCCTGGTTCACTGAATCCTTACAACCACCACCCCACGCGGAAGATGATATTTCAACTCCCCTTATTTTATAGATAAGGAAACCGAGGCCCAGAGTAGTAGTCACCTGCCCAAAGTCACACCTGTGGTAAGTGGCAGGGCTGACAGAGCTGGAACTTGAACACAGGCTTCTCTGATTCTGGTCTTTGTTACTAACTTCGGTGCCACTGTCAGATCTAACACCCCACAATTGTGTGAGGTGGAAAAATAGAGACCGAGGGACATCTAAGCTGGGAAAGAGGAGGGATGAGGAGAACTCCAAGAGGGCATCAGCGCCCACAGCATCCCTACAGCTCAGCAAAGACCCCAGGCCTTCCCCTGGGCAGCGAGATGATATCAGCACCATAGAGGGGTGAGTGGCCTCTAGGGAGAGCTCCGGCTCTGTGGTAGGAGCCCTCTCTGACCCAGGATGTGGGGCCCCACCAGCTCTGGCAGGCTGTCTGTCACCTACTGCCAGAGGACCCACTTCTGGTCCAAGCTCTGCTTCTGACCCTGCCAACCTCTCCGGACACAGAGGGCCACCTGAAATCCCCTACCACATGACGCCTTTTCACATTCCTAGGCCTTACTCTATGCTATTCCCCCTTCCTGGAATGTCCTCAACCTTCTCGGACTGCTTCCTGGAAAGGCAGAGATCAAAGAAACCTCTGATTTCCTTAGACAGAGTCAGTTTTCCCTCCTCCTGGGCCCCACCGTCCCCTCTGCATCGTTCTCAGAGCCCTCGGCAGCCTGTGTGGGCATCAGCTGTGTGTGTGTGTCTGTCTCTTCCAATAGCCTGGAGGCCTCCTGGGTCCGGTTCATTTCAATGTCCCCTGTGCCCAGCCCAAGTGCCCCACTCTCAGAGCTAGAGAGTCTGTTTCCTAAGATGTATGCTGCCTGGAGGTAGGGAGATGGTCACCCAAAAGGGAGTCCAGGGTCACTCAGCACCACTCCCACTTTTCTGCTTCCCCACCTCTGGCTTTGCAAACAGACACCAGCCAGGGCTCACTGGACCAGTAGGAAAGAAGTTCCACATGGCTGATGAGAGGCCCTTTCATGGGCTGGGCTGGTACTTATTTGCAAGGCTCCTTTACAGAGGATGGTGACCATGCTTCATATTCCTGGGCACGATTCAGAGATTCTGGGAAGGGGAAGCAGGAAAGTTTGGACCACAGAGAAGCCAGAAGCAGGAAAAAACACTCAGCAAAGCTGGGACAAAAGCCCTTCCCATCCTGTGTGAAAAACCCCAAGAGACTAGGAAGGCGGCCAGAGGAAGTGCCCTGCCCCTGGATCCAGAGTTCTGGAAAGCCAGGAATGCTCCGCTCCTCCTCCCCTCTGCACAGGGGCCTCATGGGAAGTCTGGAGGAGAAGCTGGCAACCAACCCAAGGGTCCTGGGATCCTCATCCCCAACCAGGGCCTCCAGCCATAAGTGAGAGGCAGATGGGATTGTTCAAGGCCCTGCCTCTTGTCCCATCCATGCGGTTGGCCTAGATAGGGGGTAAGGGTGAGAAGTCCCACCCCGTGGCAGATACATGACACATCCCCAGACCCTCCATAGTGGAAGCAGGAATCATCACCACCAACTCTTGACTCCTGGAGTAACCCAGGCCCCCAGTCCCATGACACCTCAAGGGCTGACAGTGCCCACCTCCTATCTTATCCCGCCCTGTGCCCAGCCCAGGCAGGCAGTGCCCCCGGCCCATCCGGCCACATGCCCCTGGAGGAAGCCCAGGCGTCAGCACTGACAATGCTGCTCAAGGCTGCAGTGGCCCCAGCAGGGAGGGCAACAGGCCCTGCTGTTTACACCCCTCCCCGGAACAGCCAGTGGGGCTGGCCTGGGAAAGGCAAACACCGATAGGCCTGGACTAAAGACTGTCTGTCCCCAGGCCAACGAGGGCTGGGCCTTGGCTGGGCTCGAGGGACCTCTGATATTGGCACCCTGATCGCAGGGAGCCAGGGCACTAGAGGGGTAGCTCCCGGGCCTTGGGCCCATCAGAGCACCAGGCAGGATGACTGGGAAGTTCTCCCCTTGCTGGCCTCGGTCTCTCCTGCTGCTTTCTTGCTTACTTTAGCTGCAGGTACTCCAAACCAGGGGAAGGAAAGCCTTTCAGAAAAGGAAGGTGGTCTCCTCTGGGAAGATCGGTGACAGGCCCTGCAATCCGCACCCCCCAGCTCCCCCTGCACACACAGACACCCACTCGTGGGACCAACCATCATGCACAAGAGATGCAGGGACAGCAAGACCTTTCACCTTAGCTGGGAAGAAGAACATCCACAAGCACCCCAAACTCTGAGATACAAAGACCCCCATCTATGACATTTGAGGCTGATAGGGATTGGTGGCCTCTCCAAATGGGAGGCCAGGATCAGTTGTCTCCTCTTCCAGACACCGGGCTGGGACAGCCACAGACAGCTTCCAAAGGATTCAGCTAGTCTTTTGGGGGAGCTCAGGGTCTCAAAGAAAGAGAGATAAATGCCTACAGAGACCCGACCAGATGAGAAACAGAGACTGAAGGGGCTGGAGAAATAGACATACAGAGAGATAGCACACCAGGGAGTGAAAGACAACAGAAAGAGACAGAGGCAGAGACAAAAGAAGCAGAGTCTTGAGATAGAGACTCAAGAAACAGAGAAGGAGAAGGAAAGAAGGTGGGAGGGATGAAGGAGAGGGGGATAGGGGTAAGAAACACTCCTCAGTGTCCCCAGTGTGGCTTCCCTGTGCCCAGACACTGCCCAAAGCCAGTGGGCAGAACAGCTCCATCCAAGGGGTAACTGAAACTGAGACTAGGGCAGCCAAGAGGACACCCCAGTGGCGAGCCAGGCAGGAGGAGGGACTCACCTCCAGCTCCTTGAAGACCATGCACCTGCGTGCCCAGTCCACGATGGAGATGAAGGTCTGGTCAGCCATCCTGCACAGGAGGCTGAAGGCCGCAGGCTGGTCAGGGCGGCCCTTGGCCGGCTCCTGCAGGCAGCCCACAATGCGTGCCCGAACCTGGTCCTCGTCCGGCTCCAGCTGTAGCAGCTGCAGGATGAGCTCAGGCACACCAGGCCCTCCGGAGAAGGGCTCTGGGTAGCCGTAGGGTGGCCCAGGCTGTGGGGGACTGGCATAGGGTTCTGGGTACTCAGACTTGATAGCACGGCCAGGGAAGGTGGGATAGAGGTAGCCAGCCAGTGGCCCGTGGGCACTGGGCACGGCCATGGGCAGTGCTGGGGCCCCAAAGTCGCCCAGTGGCCCAGCAGGTGGACCAGAGGCCAGGCCCTTGGGCTCAGGTGCATGCAGGCCAGGGGGCAGCATGTAGTCCGGTGGGGGAGGGGGTGGGGGGGGCACCCCCATTGGAGGGCCTGTCTCCAGCTTGAAGCCATTGGCTCGAATCTGTGCCTTCTTCTGCTGCTTCAGGGCTCGGTCCCGTTTGTACATGGGCCCAAACTTGTTCCGGCCACCCCGCATGCGGTCAGCACGCACAGCTGTGGGCAGAAGCAGAGGGTCAGACTCACGCCCTCCAAGCCTCCTGCCATAATGCCACACTCACAGATCTTTCCCAAACAGACCTGTGTCACTTCCCTGCTCAATAGCTTTCCATGGCTCCCACTGCCCACAGGTGAAATCAATCTCCCTTAGCACAGCATTCAAGGCCCTGTTTACCATTCCTGGGTCATCCCTTACAAGACCCCATGTTCTCTCCACTCCTCCTCATGTCTCTGCTCCTCTGCTTGGCACAGCTCCTTCTTCCTCCACCTTGCCTTTGATATTCCTTCTGCCTCAAACCCTTTCCTTCTCTCATGCCTGCCAAACACCCAGCCCCCAGGGCCACAACCTCCAGAAGTGTTCCTAGATTCATCCAGGCAGAATTCACTATCCTTGGCCCAGATGTCCTGCCTCTTGCCCACCCGCATCCTTCTGAGTGGTATCGGACCACGTGACTCAAACGGAGAGTTGCTGGCGACTCAAGGGTGGGTTCAGGGGCCTAGCACAAGGCTGAGCCGAGAGATGGGAGGTAACAGGAAGGAGACCCTAGTCAGCTTTATTCACAGCATCCAGTCCAGTCTCCAGGATCCAGCTGCTCCTGGACTCTGACTGCCTGTCTCTGGCAAACCCCTACTGCAAAATGACTCTGGCTTCCCCCACTGCCTTCAAGTATGAAGCTGAGTTTAGGGCTGGCCAGGGCTCTGTGCTGGGAGAAGGGACCTCCCCGGCTGACCAGATGTCCCTCCGTCTGGCCAAGAATGTGTCACCAGCCAGCCCCAACAGGTGCATCTCTGCAGCTGCAGTGTGGCCCCAGCCCCTGCTCAGACAGGACCCCACCCTGGGCCCTGGGAGAAGGGAGACAGTAGGAGGCAGAGGGCGGTGCTCAGCAAGGGAGGTGTCTTGGGGGTCCGCTCAGCCAATCTTCCTGCCACGGGGGTGCACAGCCCAGCTCTGCTCCCTCAGGCTCCGTCAGGGTGGCTTTGCTACTTGTAGCAATGAGCTCTCCTGACCAGTGAGGACCTGGAGCTGGGGACGTCGGGACATCCCCCTCACATCTAGGAGTCCTTCCTCTAGGTGGCAGGACGTGTGGTCAGCGGCTCTCAGGGCCACTAGGGGCTTCCATGTTGTTTAAAAACTTTAGCCAACAGCTGTCTGCTCGGCGCACAGCCCGGCTGGGGCCAGCAGGGTGGAAGCCTACGAGTGTCCACCCTCAGAAAGTTTGAGTTCTTCCTGCCGAAACGTTTTTCCTCTCCTCTGGACTGAGAGCCGGGAGGAAGGGGTTGGGAAGGGAAGGATGGGCCTGGGTCCTGTGGGACCAATTGTTCCCCTTTCCCTCAACCTCTCAGGGCCCACCCAAGAACATGGTGGAAGGACTCTCATCCACCGAGTGAATGGCCTGAGTGAACCTTTTGGGTGGGCTGGCTGCGTGAAGCCTGATGATGGACAGATAGTAACCTAAGTGATGACGATGATAATAATAATAGTAATAACAATAACAACAACAACAACAATAACAATAACAACAATAATAGCATTTACTACGTGCTGGCTTTTCCGTACCATTCCCTCACACTGACTCTAGGAGGAAGACACTACTATCAGCTCTAGTTTTCAGATGGGGTATCTGCAGCTCAGAGAGGTTAAGGAACTTGCCCAGTGTCACTCAGCCTGTGAGTGGAGGCACTGGGACTTGAACTCTGGTAAAGGTGTTGGTCACCTTGGCTCTCGCTGCTGTTGGGGGCTCAGTGGGGGTGTTGTAGGTCTCCTTGCAGAAGAGGAGCTCTGCGGGGCTCTGCCCTGTGCTGCCCCGGCTCTCAGAGGCTGCAGAGAGGGCCTGAGCCTCTCTATATCTCCTCGCCAGACAGAGCCGGCCACTTCTCACCCCTCCCCGGCAGAGATCGGGCTCTAGCGTCACAGTGAGGGGCCACCGGCCGGCTCCGGAAACTTTAAGAAGGCCACTCGTGCCCTCCTCTCACCGCTCCTACCACCCGCACCCACAGACAGCGAGGTCAGCGGTCGGAGGCCCGCAGCGCGGCGCGCGCACCTTCCAGGCGCATCCCCACCGTCAGGCACTTCTGGAAGCGGCAGAAGGGACAGCGCTTGCGCTGCGTCTTGTCGATCTTGCAGCTCTGGCTCTCGGTGCACGTGTAGTGCTTGTTGTTCTGCACCGTGCGCTTGAAGAAGCCCTTGGGGAGAGCGGAGTCAGCGCGGGAGGCGGGCAGGCCGCGCGTCCCCTCCCGGGGGCCCGGTTCCTTCTGTACCGCCCGGCAGGGCCTGCCACCCCCCGCGTCCCACCGGCTCGCCCGCCGTCCGCGCGCCTAGCTAGCCCTGCCGGCCCGCAGCCCGCCGCCTGCTCACCTTGCAGCTCTCGCATGTGAGCAGCCCGTAGTGGTAGCCGGACACCTTGTCCCCACACACGGGGCACAGCTCATCCAGGTCCTCGTCGTACGAATAGTCCATGCCCGCGGCGTCCGCCTGCGGAGGAAGGAGGGGGTCACCGCGGGCGGGACGCGATCCGCAGCGCGGCAGACCTGGGGGCCGGGGGCCCGGCGCCCCCACGGCGCTGTCCCCCATTAGCGCGCGGGGGTCAAGGCCGCTCGTGGCAGGCCACCCATCGGAGCGCCCTGAGCAGCCCGCAGTGGGATGTGGCCGGGGCGGCCCCTGCTCGGCCTTTACCGACCCTGTCCCAGCGTTCCTGCCCCGCGTCCCTCCCCCCC